TTACTGATTTCAGAGAGAAAGAGAGAGGGAGACAGAGATAGAAACATCAATGATGAGATAGAATCAATGGATCAGCCGCCTCCTGCACGCCCCCCACTGGGGATCCAGCCTGCAACCCGGACATGTGCCCTTGATAGGAATCGAACCCAGGGCCTTTCAGTCCACAGGCCGACGCTCTATCCACTGAGGGACACCAGCCAGGGCCATTGGTTGATTCTTGCATGTGCCCTGACCAGGGATGGAACCCACAACCGTGGTGTAATCAAGGCCACCAGGCCAGGGCCTCACAAGCACCTACTAGAACATGCATTTAAAACCTCGCTACGCCCTGACCGGTTTGCTCAGTGGATAGAGCGTCAGCCTGTGGACTGAAGGGTCCCGGGTTCGATTCCGGTCAAGGGCATGTACCTGGGTTGCGGGCACATCCCCAGTAGGGAGTGTGCAGGAGGCAGCTGATCGATGTTTCTCTCTCATCAATGTTTCTCTATTCCTCTCCTCCTCTTTTTCAAATCAATGAAACCATATTTAGAAAAAAAATATCAATTTCCTCTACTGCCCTTGAAATACCATTTGACATACATTCAATTTTGTGGATGCATACCTTTTGTGTAAGAGAAGACACATTTATACAGGCATTTAGTCATCAATTACACCTTAAAATACAGAATACCAAACACAACTTAGCATGCCACTGTATACCCAGTATAATAAGCATGCAGTAAGTATCTTGCAACTTTTTAAGAGCTGAATCTTGGGTTGGCTGCTTCGCTCACAATATCCTCTTTCTGGGAATGCAGACTCCACACACTCCAGGGGGGGGCACCCTGTTCCTCAGCCACATGGCTTGACTTTTCTAAAGCCATTAACCGTGAACCTTTACCTTGTTCCCCACTGAGTAGTAGTAGCTGGAATCTTCCTGCCCAGTAACCTGCCTGGAATTGGGTGACTTTATTGATAAACAGAAATTTTATGGGCTGAATGTTCGTGTCTCCCCAAAATTGGTATGTTGAAGCTTTAATCTCCAATGTGATTGACATTTGGAGATGAAGCCTTTGGGAGGTAGTTAGGGTTACATCAGGTCATCCCCCTGACCTCCGCGCACATGCGCACAAAGCTCACCGGGACTCCATGCCCCGGCAGGCTTTGCGCCAAACTCTTCCGTCCTGCCCTCCCCACCTACCACTCCCGGGGACCTAGTGGTCCGTGCGCCTGACGTACCGCCCCCAGCCCCGCGGACCTCGCCGGCACTACATTTCCCAGGGGGCCGCGCGGCCAGCGAGGCTTCCCATTGGCTCTCTCGTTGGTGACCCGCGCACGTCCGTCCCACAGAATGGCTCCGCCAGCGCCAGAAATACACTTCCCAAGATGCACCGAGGACTACGCAAACATGGCGTCGCCTAGCGCGCCAGGCTGCGGACTACATTTCCCAGAAGGCAGACGGGGCCTCCCATTGGCTCGCGCGCCGAAGCCGAGTGTGCGGACTGGGGGGACCCGAGGAGTGCCGAGGGAGGGAGGAGGCGGAGCCGTGGTGGCGTCGTCGTGGAGACGAAGGAGGCCTGACGCTGCCGGGCACTTGGGAAATGGGGCCCTTGGGTCGGAGGAACGGGCCGACCATGAAGGAGGCGTGGCCCGGACCTAAGCTCCGCGCCAATCCCGGCGTGCTCCGTGCGTCTCCTTGACAACGGGTGGCCTCTCACCCCTCCCCCACCCGGCGGACCTCACAAGGTCCCGGTTCTTGTGGGTCAGGACGTGACCCTGGCGCCCTGGCTCGGCTCTGCCTGCGCGAACCTGATCCACAGCCTCAGTTTCCCCTCCGCAAATCGGGGAGCGTACCTCCTGCCAGCGTCCGGACGTGCCCTCGTGGGACACGGCGACTGCCTCAGTTTCCCCATCTCAGAAATGGGGTGAAGAAGAGTTGGTTTTCAGAGCGGGAAGAGAGCTGAGAGATGGGTTGGAGTGTTGTATTGTACCCCGCAAATCACACGGGACGCCTTAAGAAGTCGAATGAAGTGTTGTAACGTACCCCGTGAATCACAGAAGGACGCCTCAAGAAGTCGAATGAAAGAGTCACATTTATTGCAAATCCGGGACTACGAGGGGGCATTTCGCCCTCCCAAATCTCGCAGTGCCCTCTGTTATGGGTGGGCTCAGCGAGATAGACCACCGACTCAGAATTTGAATTTAAGAGCCTTTATTCAGCTGGCCAGCTGGCCACAGCGCCTATCTCCCCCTCTGGGAGCTTCGGAGCATGTGGCAGAGACCAAGGGTGCAGTATGATCCTTTATAGCAAAACTGTTAAAAAATATATATACAAAGCATTTCATTAGCTGTTCCTTAGAAGTTCACAGAAAGTTCATAGGGGAGGTAAACGGAGTCACACCTGGCTGGAGCAGATCATAACAGACTGTTTTTCTAAGACAATCTAGCAATTTTTCTCTGTCCCGGTTCCTGACCCTAATACAGTCGGTATCCTTTTCCAGGCCGCAGTCCCTCCCCCTCCCACATTCCGTAACCCTTCCATGCCGCAGTCCCTCACCCTAGCACCCCCTCCCCAGCCCCAACATCAGATTTTTTTTTAAATATATTTTATTGATTTTTTTACAGGGAGGAAAGGAGAGAGATAGTTAGAAACATCGATGAGAGAGAAACATCGATCAGCTGCCTCCTGCACATCTCCTACTGGGGATGTGCCTGCGACCCAGATACATGCCCTTGACCGGAAGCGAGCCTGGGATCTTTCAGTCCGCAGGCCGACGCTCTATCCACTGAGCCACACCGGTTTCGGCAACATCAGATTTTTTTTAATATATTTTATTGATTTTTTACAGAGAGGAAAGGAGAGGGATAGATAGTTAGAAACATCGATGAGAGAGAAACATCGATCAGCTGCCTCCTGCACATCTCCTACTGGGGATGTGCCTGCGACCCAGATACATGCCCTTGACCAGAAGGTATTCAATCGATTGAGATGATTTATATAATTCAGAAAATCAAAATAACTTTCCTATTGTTAAATAAGTACGGAAGCCAAACATCAGAGTTAAAGTTAAACTATAGTTTCTACCTGAGATGATTGCTACCATACTTCAGAAGGAGCCATATTTATTTCAAAGCCGGGACTAGGAAGGGGCAGTTGCTCTCCAAATGTCGCAGTGCCCCCTTGGCCGAAACATCAGATCAATAGAGGCAAATATCACAAAGGCATTGATTACCTCTCCAGGTTTGGAAAGAGGAACCTGGTTTGCAAAAAAGCAGTTTGTTACAGAAGCTTAGATTGAGCAAGTTAGTTGTCTTACAAAGATTAATTATAGTTTCGGGTCCTGGGACCACTGAGTCAGCGGAAACACATTATCTGGAGCCATCGGGCCTTGGGACTGTTGTAATGTACCCTGCGAGTAAATGCTCAGGACGCAAGACCAGATGAATGAGTCATTTAATTAATAAGCCAGTGACCGAGAGGGCGTTATGGCTCCAAATCTCCCAGTCCCGAAATGGTGGCAGCATCTGGCTTATATAGGCAAAGATTACAAAGGAATCGATGACATCTTTGGGTTTGGAATGAGGAACCTGTTTGCACAAAGCAGTTATAGAAGCGGAACTGAGCGA